TATGTTATACCAATATTTACAAATGCAGTGTGCATTGACAGGGCCGGACTGGGGATACAAAACAGCCCTGGAAAAAAAATCTATGCCAGCCCCATAAGTCATTGCGCCATATATTGTTGCATGTAATATGTCTTGCCACCCCATATGATTGAGTAATTTATATATATATATATATATATATATATATATATATATATATTGCCTTTTCTAATATAAAATATTTGTCCTTTCAGAGTAAAACTTTTAATTATACAGTAAGCATACTCACACGCAGACACAGACAATCTCATTGACAAACACAAGCTCATTGATACACAGGCTCATAGACAAACAATCTCACTGATATACATAAGCTCATTGACATACAAACACAAGCTCACTCACTAGCAGGCGCACACACACACACAGCTTAATGTAGTGGTTCTGGTGTCTATAGCCTGTCCCTGCAGGCTTTTCAATGTAAACACTGACTTTTCATATAAAAGGCAGTGTTTACATTGCTTCCTAGTGACAGACACTCAGACGGTCACCTGTCAGGTATACCTAACATTCATGCTGCCGCCGGAACCCACTTCCGGGTTCACGGCGCTTAGCTCCGCCCCTTTTTTCTGACGCGGTCTTTCCACGATACTTAGGAAGACCGCGCCAGATTCAAAGTGCTGGATTATTCACTCAGGTGCGGCAGTGAGATCAGCTGCTCTACTCGATGCTACCGGCTCCACTTCTCAGACCTCGGCTTGTAAACGGATTTCTACCTTCTCATCTCTCAGACCTCGGCTTATAAACGGAATTCTACCTTCTCCTCTCCCAGACCTCGGATTGTAAACGGATTTCTACCTTCTCCTCTCTCAGACCTCGGCTTGGACAAACGGACTTCCTTTCTCTCACTACTAAACTGCAGTTTGTTAAAAGAGACTCCTTCCTCTTCCTCCATTGGGTGAATTAACCCTTCCAGTGCCAGAGTGCTTCTAAGTTAAGTAAATCTTTTGTCAAGGAAAGCAAGTCATATCAATTAATTATAGTATTTAATTTCTTTAAACTCTCTGTTGACAAATAAGGATTGCTGCTAAGGCTAAAACTTCATTATTAAAATTCAAGTTGGAACTAACTTGGCATTTTCCTGATTATTATTTAAAGATACAGTCCACTGATTTCACTCCAATATAATAGGAGGTGAAACTTACTGTTCCTGCCCTCAGAAAATTCTGCAGTTGAGTTCCAATTAAAGAGGTATTACACAAAAGCATCACATCACTAGAGGTACTTCCTGTGTCAGTGCGGATTGGCTGAGATCATCAAGCTTGATGATCTCAACCATAGAGGCAGGGCCAGTTGAGGGGAAACCAGCATGAAGTGAGGGGAAAAAAGGTGAGTAAAAACACCATTTTTAAAAACACACAGACACACACATACAATGACAGACACACACACACACCTTGACACACACACACACACCATGACAGACACACACACACCTTGACAGACACACACATACCATGACAGACACACACACACCATGACACAGACAGACACACACACACACACCGACCATGACAGACAGACTCACACACCATGACACAGACAGACACATACCATGACAGACACACACCGTGACACAGACACACACACACACACACACACACCATGACACAGACACAAACACCATGACACAGACACACAAACACCATGACAGACAGACACACACACACCATGACACAGACACACAAACCATGACACAGACACACACACACCATGACACATACAGACACATACACTCACACTGACACACATAATTGCTACCTGTGTGTAGACAGCTGTCTGGGCTGGCGGGTGAGCTCTGGGGACCACCGCAGAGAGAGCTGGTTGTTCTGTCTCTGCTCCCCTGTCCTCGCGCGGAGTTTAATGAGACCGCAGCCGGAATATGACGTCATATTCTGGCCGCGGTCTCATTCAGCAGCGCGCGAGGGCGGCAGAGCAGAGACAGAACAGCCAGCTCTCCCTGCGGCCGCCCTCAGAGCTCACCCTGCGGCCGCCAGAAGAAGAGGTCACCCTGCGGCCGCCAGAAAGAGAGCTCACCCTGTGGCCGCAGGTCAGCCAGCTGTCTGCCCGGCCCCAGGTGCCGACGGCACAGCAGGAAGAGCTAGTCTACGATCCACAGTCTCTACAACGTGCTGTGCTTAGAGTAGGCCTTTAATGGACATCACGGCATGAGTTTTCTCTCATTTCTTTGTCACTTCAAATCTCCCTGTTGCCATAATTCACCTACCAACTTCTCTCTCTCTCTGATTACCAGAGCCCACTTCTCTTGTCTCTCTCTAGTAACGCCCACTTGTCTCTCACTCTCTGTTAGTTCTCACTTCTCCCTCTTTCTCTACAATCTTTCACTTGTATCTCTCTTTCTAGTAGCCCTACACTTCTCTCTCTCTCTCTCTCTCTCTCTCTAGTAGCTGGCACTTCTCTCTAGCAGCTTTCAGTTTTCTCTCTCTCTAGTAGCTCTCACCTCTCTCTCTAGTAACGCTCACTTGTATCTCTCTCTCTTGCAACTCACTTGTATGTCTCTCTCTAGTGACTCTCACTTGTCTCTCGAGTGGCTCTCACTTGTGTGTGTCTTTCTCTTTAGTAGCTCTCACGTCTCTCTCTAGTAACTCACTTGTATCTCTCTCTCACTGGTAACCCTCACTTGTATCTCTCTCTCTGGTAACTATCACGTGTATCTCTCTCTCTCTTGTATCTCTCTATCTCCCTCTGGTAGCTCTCCTTTGTATCTCTCTCTCTCTCTAGTAACTATCACTTGTCTCTGTTTAGTAGCTCTCAATTGTGTGTCTGCAATTCCCATGTCCCATGTTATATGTCTTCCATTCCCATGTTCCTCTTTTGTTGCCTTTACCTTGTCTGGCTGGGGTGCTGCCGTCTGTCCTTCTTTCTCACATTGCTGAAGATCCCTGGAGGAGCTGCTCTGTGTGTGGAGGAAGCTGATGTTCTGTCCTTTAGCCTGTGCTGTGCATGGCTGGCTTGGTGTTGCTGTCTGTCCATCCTCACAGTACACATTGTTGAAGTTTCCTAGAGTAGCTGCTCTGTGTGTAGAGGTGGCGGGGCTGTGATGTGAGTGGCGGATGTCCTGTCCTTTATCCTGTTACTGCCGCACTGAGCTCCCTGGCCGACAGGGTAAGCGGCTGTGCAGTCAGGGATGCCTGTAAGTGGCACATTTACTGATCTCCCTAACTGTCCCGATACTGCTTAGGTCAGGGATAGGCAACCCTCGGCACTCCAGATGTTCTGGACTACATCCCCCATAATGCTCTTACACCTATAATGCTGGAAAAGCATCATGGGAGGTGTAGTCCAAAACATCTGGAGTGCCGAAGGTTGCCTATGCCAGGCTTAGGTGCTGCCAGCCCAAAGCCTTCAGTTTATGACCAGAATGCCCAAGTGCTCAGTCCGTCCCTGTACGTGGGTGAAAACCATCTGGCCCTGGGGCTTTGTTTCCATTAATTTTATTTAAATTCTTTAGCACTTTATCCTGTGTTAACCAATCACCTGCTGTAAGGCTTTTGTAACCGGGATTTGCAAGTCTACAGCCATGGATTCCTTTTTCCTATAATCTGAAAAATATTTATTTTGAATTTCTGCCTTTTCCTTGACCCTTCTTGATGGTCCAGCTCACTTTCCAATGGACCAACACTTTCACTCTTAAACATTTTGGCATTAACATACATACACACACACTTTTTGTGGTTGGCCATGCTCTCTTTGAGCTATAATTTTCAAGTTTGGCCCATCTAATCTCTCCTATTTGTTATAGGATGCTATTGACCCTTTTGATTTAAATGTTTTGAGTGCCCTTTTCTTATCTTTAATAATTTGGCTGACCCTTTTAGAAAGCCACACTGGTTTTAATTTGCTTCTTTTATATTTGTTTCCTAATGGTATGTATTGAAATTCGTAGTTTTGTAGAATTTATTTAAAAACCTTCCGTTTATCTTCTGTGCTTCAGCCAGTGAGTATTTCCTGCCAGTCAATTCACTGTAAAGATGATCTTATCCTATTGAGATAAACCTTTTTAAAAGTGTTTTTGCACCACCCATATAATTTTTTTTGAATTTTATTTTTTTTGAATCTTAAATCTCCATGTGCACAAGAGAAACATAATGGCAGCATGGGAGGAAACGTGTGTGTGTGTGTGTGTGTGTGTCTTTAACCACTCAACAATTTATTTCAGAATGATGGAATCCAGATATAGCTTTTATTAATAGAAAATGTGTAGGAGTTTTTAAATGTACATCTACCTGTCAGCTATTAATGATACATTCCCCTGAAATATTGTACAGTAAAACCATTAATACAATAACTCACTATGTATGTTTTATTATGTGACATTCAAATTATAACTCTCATGGTGTTTGCGTTGACACATGAAGTGACAAATCGATTCATTATTAAGGCAAACAATTATTAAAACACAATATCCTAGTTACATTTCAATACATTATTTTTGTTTTGGTTGGATGTAGACTGTAGTATGTGTGTATATGTATTGTTCTCTAATCGTTGTATGCTTGAGATTGAAAATCCAAGTAATAGTATGTAGATCTTTTCAATGTCTCTCTCTGTTAACTCCATTGAGATCCAAGTTCAAATTAATAGTACTAAGTTCATTCATCTCTACCATTTTACAGGTCACACATTTGTGATTATACACATTGAATTTTAACAAATTAAAAACTGAATTGGAAATTTAGGCCAAAGTAGTTGATTCGAAGAATTCCCAACTCAGCTATTCTAACCTGACTTTTGCAATATGGTTTTCTGTGCTCCAGCTCAATATTTAGTGACTATCCCAAGCTACTGCAGTTTGCTGTTTTGTGGGTTGAGAAAGCATTGCCATTGCATAGAGCTTTATTGATCAAATTCATTTTGAGCGGTGTGCTAGTAAACCGTACACCTAATTGTAACGGTGTCATGCATACATTTATGCACAATAACAAAATAAATAAACTCTACAAATATACAGAATGCTTTATTTATTTTTTTACAATACCACATCTTACACAATAAACAGTAACAAAATAGTTCAATGGTTTTAAAAAAAAAGAAATAAAAACAAAAAACAAAAAAGAAAAATTACAATTCCAGTTATGAAAATCTCAAAGGAAAAAGCTCTCAGAAATGTTAGTATAGAACATAGGAGACGTGTAATCTGTGAAATGAAATGTGCTGTATTCATAATACATGTTTTAAGCAGATGGCTTAAAGTGACTGTGACTTACTGGAGTAGCCAAGTATGGCAACATTCCGCCTGCACAGAGAACGACCAAACGGCCCTAGGCAGAAGCTGGACAATCAAAGCAATGCAAAAATGAGGAACATGTGGTGAGATCTCTACTGAAGTAGCCCTAATATTTGGAACATATTAAGACTCAATGTCATTATTTTTATTGTGTTTTCACCACCTCATTAAATTAAATTTGTGATTTAAACAGTTCTTACTAGTGCTGTTTTGTGTGTGTTGTACTGCTAATAACGTGCGTTGCTACAGTCATCTAACAACAGATGTATATAGCAATGCTTCTAATACCACATGGCAATATTATAGTACAGCTTGCAGTATAGACAAATGCCCCATCAAGGAGATCTACAAACGAACTCATCTGTAATAGAAGCAAGGATTAAGTTACATAACAGGACATTTATGGCACATTTGTTGGCCCAGCTTCATCCGATGTTGATGTGCCAAATCTGGTCATAATTCTAGATGTTTGTAAATGGAACTTTGTGTGATATCTTGCATTCACAGAATAAGTCATACTTCCTTTAACTTTCCTGCTGTAGAGCTACAGTAAGCACAATATTTTAGCAAGCAGAAGGATGGGAAGTACAATGTTTATGAATGTGTTAAGTCCATATTTGGCACTTATTAAGAAAATATGACATCTTTGGCAGTGACATTAGATAGATTAAAGATTCTGATATATCAGGCATGTATTTTCTCCAGGCAATGTTGCCATCTTAATTACTAATTGAATTAATGTACTAATAATGTACACTTTCTGTCTTTAGAAGCTTCCCTAACGAATATGATTGGAATATGACAATTTACCTATTTCAGATTAAGGGCAAAAACTTGGATGGTTAGAAGATTGAACTCGATAGAGCTGAGTCTTTCTACTGATCTAAGTGTACTCTCAATTAAATGTGTAATTACATAACAAAATATAAAAGGTTTAATAGGTAATTCCGGTATTTGCTCAGAAGACTAAAATAAAGGAATTAAAATAATGTTGCTAAAATTAAATGGACACACTTTAATTAGAAAGCATCGCTTTGTAATGATGCAACAAGCATCTTGAAGAGATATGGTCAGTTCCATGAGTTAAACATGTCCCCCAACCATCTAGCTTCCGCAATGCACAGAGCTGTTAATGCATCACTTCTATATAATAAGACTACTTCATTGTTAGATAGCAGAACAGCTGTTGTTCCTTATAGAGCTTAGCATGGACTTAACAACTTCAGCATTACATAAACAATGATTCTCCAAACAGTACAAATCTTCAACTGATCATCCTAAACTTCAGGAAAAAGAACCTTCAGCTTTTGTAAACTATTCATTTTTCATTAAGTATCAAAAACAAGGTCGCCATGGAAATGGACATGTAAAAATAAAAAATGTATTTGTGTACCCCATAACTGGAAAATCAGATGATCATGCCCAGTAGTGGAACAGATACTGTAGTTCTGTCCACCTTAGTCAAAGCTAGAACAAACCAAGAAAGAAAATAAATAGAATTTACAGATAGGTGGTTAACACAAACAGGCTACATATTTTCTATAGATCTTTTTACACTGTGATCTCTCACTTTGTCTGCTTTTTCTTGGTTCAGGTATTCTAAGACCTTCATAAGCATGTCCTCATCAGGATACGGTTTGCTCTGTGTGTCGTCACTCTCCCTGGCTGTATGGAGCCTTCTGTTATCCTTGGACAAAGTCTCTAAGTCCTGGAGACCTCTAAGGTTGAGATAACCCCTCAATGCCTTCTCATACTGCTTTTCAAGCTCCTGCATATCACCTGGTGGGTAGAGGGATGCTAACTTTTTGTTTTGGTTGTTTCCCAGCAGTTCTGGGTATTTGGTAAGCATCTTTACCATGTATTCTGCTAAATCTTCCTCCTTGTCGGACCTTGGCTCATACTCCATTTGCCTCTTATCAAAGTCATTCAGCCAAGTTTTGTGTCCTTTAGGTCTGCTTAGCATTGAATAAGATCTTGACAAACCATTTTTTTGATTGAACTGATTGAGAAAGCCAGGTTTTTTATTCGGCACCTTATCTGCACCTAAGAGAGCCATCATATCCTCCATTGTCAGGTCTTCAGGAATATTAGGCAATGAGGAACTTGATGGTTGCTTCACAAAACCCTGCTTGTTTTTAATTACATCCACCTTTCCCACTGTGGTTTCAGATATTTCATCCAAATCATCAGGCACCTCTATTTCCTTCTCGGATTCTAGTCTTCCACCATACTTCCTGCCATCATCATCCCGCAACATGTCAATAAGATCTTCAGGTGGGATTTGTAAATTTCTAGATATGTCTATAAGTTGATAAATAGCATCAGGGTCCAGGTCTTTTCCTGAGTACTTTGCTGACCGTTTCTCTGCATTTTGTTTACCCTTTTCCATTCTGTTCATCAATGACCTTAAGTAGTAGTTCATCAGGTTTGACAAATTCTCAGATTCCAACTCTTTATTATCTTTCTCTGAGTCGTCCTCCTGTAAACCAAGGAGTCCAGATCGTTTCATCTCCTCCTCCATATCATCTGTTTTTTCCAACTCTTCCTTGCTCTCTTTCAGTTCCTCTTGAGTCTGACTCTCAACCTTCTCCTCTATTGGATTCCAGTCTTCCCCTCCAGCCACATCTTCATATGCGATATTGTTGGCTTTATAGAGGTCATCCTCATCATCTTTATAAAGTTTTTGGTCATCTTCAAGACGGTCTCTTTTATGATTGCCTTGACCTTTCAATTTCCCTAGTTCCTGGAAGACAGACTGCAATGTAGCTAGATTTTGAGGAGTGTATTGACCTTCCACAATTTCATTAGTACGCTTCAGTGGGCTGTCTCTAGAGTAATCCTCGTAGTACTTTGCAGGGTACTTGCCACTTTTAGGTCTTTTCTCTGGCCACTTGTTTGATTCATAGTCCTCAATCAACTCTGCGGGAATGTTTTTGTCCATAATGCCACTGAATGGCTTGCTTTTTTCTTGGGGAGATATTTTAGCTTCTTTTTCTGCTTGCATGAGGGCTTCCAACATAGCTCTCATCCATTCGGACTCATCATCTATGGAGGGGTTTTTGGCACTGTCTGGTGAAAGTGTCTGTACATTGGTGTCTTTCAGCTCTGAAAGGTATGGTGCGCTTTGATAGGAGGGATAGTCTGGGATACTTTCCGTTCTACTTGCTTGTTTCCTGAGGTTTTCAATATACTCCAATGCCTTTAGCATGTCTGGGCTAGGCAGCCTTTGAATGCTTTTTACTCTGTAATCCTGTTCTTGTTGGGGCACTTGATAGTATTGAAAAGATGCAGCATCAGCAAAGGACATTAGGAGGATTAAAAAGAACATGGACAAGCATCTTGCAAGACAACAATTCCTTGGAGATGCCATATTTATCAATGCTTCCTAAAAAAGAAAGGTATAAATGAATATGTGTCAGGGAGCTAAAATAGTTGCATATGGTTTACATTATTTATCACTTTACCAGTGTTATTACTTTTGATGCACTTTTATGTCATTAATATTACAAAGGCAACATGACCACAACATATAAATATACTTGCGTTATTATTCAATCTGCTGTGTTGTCTTGCTGCTTCCAAATGTCTGACTTAGACCAGTCATTATAAATCTGTTTCATTGACTGATGGTTGCAATAGCTCAATCTACTCATGGCAACGCAGTTAATGTCTTTGTATTTATAGATTGCAGGTTACTCTAAATAACTTTCTGCACGCCTTGTACGTAGGTTCTGTAGGACAGATTCTGGGCAATGGATTTATGGAAATGCACAAATGTAGTTTGCAGAGATATAAAACTGTCGCAGTTATTTCAATTTACTTTGATTATTTTACATCAACCAGAACCACCCCACAGCTCTACCCCTGGATTATTTGTAAGACAAGCAGAGTGAAAAAAAATAATATGCTTTTAGAAGCAACATTTTTGATATTTGGTGCAAAGAATTGCAACCAAAGCTTAATGATATTACTTAGATGCCCAGCTTATAATACCAGAGATTCTGCCACCCACCTCACAGCTTGGTGATATAAGAACAAATAGCATAAATTATCAAATACGATTGCTAGCCCACCCATTTATAAATGGGTTGTTTTTTAAACACTATCAGAGAAGTGTGTGCTGTGCATGAGTTCTCATATAGTATTTGACTATTTCTATAGATTTGCTTGTGTAGATAAATCAGTTTTTATTGATCTGGTCCTCCAAAAAATAATCCTGCCTATTTTGAAATATATAGATATAGTTTATTAATCGCTGTTAATCTTACAGTCACAGAATCATAAACTCAAATTATCCAACTCCTACAAAGGGGGGAAAATTAAACCGCAAACATATCTTCAAATTGTCAAAAGAATTAACCTACATTGGAATATCGGCAATTATCTGATGGAGAACAAGATATTCGCTCTGATCCCACATGGGTTAATATTCAACATAATAAGCACAGTTCTTCTCATACTGAGCTGGAAAATGGATTATCTTTAATGAAATTGCCCAGGCAACTGGCCAATCACGCCCTTGTGCGTGATTTTTTTTTTTTTTTGAATAACAAGAGAAGCAAAATAGCCAGTGGTGTATAAAATGTTTAATATGTAGGAGTTACACAATAGGTCTGCAGATGTAGTTTTGGCATATAAAGTATATGTACAATATATACTGTAATATCAACAAGTATAGAATATTTTTTTCTTTATGTGTAGGTGTATCAACACGTTTGTGGGTTTGTGTGCTTGTCTGTGTGCGTATATTGTTTTGATTTTCTTTGCAATGATTAGAATAAAAAAAAAATTATTTCTTTAAAATCACAATTATAGACCATATATTTGTTTTGTGTGTTGGTTTGTTAAGAAATCAAATGCCTGTTGCTTGGGCAAATATAAAAGTAGATTAATACACTGTGCTGCAGCTACTGTGTCACAGATTAAAATATTCTGGCACTCACGTTGCGGAGGACTACATTTCCCTTCATGCATTGTCAGCCCCCACAGGAAAGGTAATTAATAACGATTGAATTGCCTCACTATCCCTATTCATACGCTGTTATAATGTAATCCCAGAGGATTGTTTACATGCTGTTACTGAAGCTGTAATATTATAATAGTAGCAATCAGAAATTAATGTTTTAAGCTTACTATCAATAAATTATATACACAGTTGATGGGGGTAAATTGTCGCTTCTTATAAGATGGATTTATTAAAGGAGGTAAGGATGGTACATTATGGCATGTTTGTTTAAAACCTATTAATTCAGCAATATAGGAACACTACTGGTTTCTCCATTGACTGCCTGTGATATTCATTACATAATTTTTAATCATATGCTATCCCTGACAGCTGCAGTTTAGTGTGGGCAAGATTGTGTTGATGAATAATACAGCATAGCACTATGTGTGATGCACATTGACATAGACTAGGCAGCTGCCTGCAACAGGCTGAAATGTTTATATGTTTCTTATGTGACACTGCAACAGGCTGGACTGTTTTTACCTTTATGTTATGTGACACATCAACAGGCTGGTTTGTGTACATGTATGTTATGTGACACGTCAACAGGCTGGTCTGTGTACATGTATGTTATGTGACACGTCAACAGGCTGGTCTGTGTACATGTATCATCATTAGTAATCTGATCTATAAACTCTACAAACAAGATTCTATCAACACTATAAACAATCTTACTTTTAAAATAAGGTTTAGATTACACAAACCACTTAATAACTCTTAACATAGGCAAATTAATATAAATACACCCCAGACACTTGCAGATTGAAATCCAGATATTCAAGCAGAGGGAGACCACCAAGCACAAATGTGGCCAGTCTAAAGACCTGCAGCTGTTGTGAAACTGCAACTCCCATCAATCTTTACCTCATAGTTGCAGTTCTGGTGGAATAACTTCTAGCCCCCACACCCCCCTCCTGCCTTTTATCTGTCTAGCTTATATTAAATTAGCAGCAAATACTACATAAATGGTCTATTACCCAATATATATTGAAAAATTTTTTTGTTTGCCTTAAAGAAAGACTAAATAAGAAAACCCCATTGGTGGTGGTGTATTTTCAATCTGTGACTATGTAGCAAGGACTGATAATGCATGCACACACCCCTAGCAGTGAGCAGTACCTACCTGTGTGTTTCAGACAGAGGGATGCAGCAGGCTGCTCATAGCTCCCTCCCAGCAGCAAGATGTGGTTTCAGCACCAAGAACAGCTCCCAGTGCTTAATAGGGCGCGTCACGTGACCGTCGTGACGTCACTCTGTGTGCAAAGAGGCACAGGGGAGTGAGCTCCCAGCCAGCCAGCCAGCTGCTGTAACTCCTGCCTTGCCTGGCACTGAGCACACTGCAGGCATGTCACATGTAAAACAGGCAAGGTTAGAGCACAATGCAAGGGAAATGCAAAAATAGATGTATTATTTATTCAATGGCAGGGGAAGGAGTGTCAGCAGCTTCAGCCACATCACAATGCAACCTGTGGCACTCCAGTTAGTGTTGGGCTAAAAAAAAAACTAAAAAAAAAACAACAAAGTGAAATAATAAGCCTGCCTACAACGTCAGCTGGAAGGATAGACGTTGTATGAAAGCATTTAATGAAACAGGAGTCTGCAGATAATCAGATACATTCTGGACCACACCAGCCCCCCATGAAACCAATAAACACTATCACTGCTAGCACTTACCATAGGGTGTTACTATAAACTTTATTATTTTCATCATTCTAAGCAAATATAATAGTGATTACATTTTTAAAAAAAAAAGAAAACAGCATGGCAGGGAGCATTATCAAATCAAAATGGGTGCTATTTTGGGTACAAAGTGCTTTTGAGAGCCATATTTTTGGTCTCTTTGTTGTTCCTTATTTAGCACTTTGCCCCCTTATTTAGCTCCTGTTTTTTGCCTTGATTAGTGTCCGTCGAATCAACCTGAGTTTCTGTTTTTTGAGTGGATCATTTTTATTTAATTTTTTTTTTCAATTATTTCTCTCATGTCAACAATCCCTTCAGAGCTTTTACTGAACTGAGCCTAGTCTGTACCCGTGTCTAAAATCAATAATTTTAATAATAAACATCTTAGACATTCCCTGCAGTTGCAGTTTATTGGATGGTGTTCACTGGAGGTGGATAGACAGTATTATGAATGGTCTGCTGATAATTAAAGTGTCTGAATTCAATTTAAATCCCAGTCTCAGTTGCCCACAAGACAAGATGATGTGGAAATCCAATAGTATTCATGGCCTAGACTCCAAAATAAGCTAATTAAAGAACGGATCAAATGTTTAGGTAAACAACTGAGAGCCATACCCGCATCCCTCCAAATATTGTATCTAAAAGTGTCCAATTTATTTTAAATTGCAAAATAAGCCAATTAAAGAATGGATCAAACGTTTAAGTAAACAACTGAGAGCCATACCCGCATCCCTGCAAATATTGTGTATAAAAGTGTCCAATTTATTTTAAATTGCAAAATAAGCCAATTAGGAAAGAATGGATCAAACATTTAGGTAAACAACTGAGAGCCATACCCGCATCCCTCCAAATATTGTCTATAAAAGTGTCCAATTTATTTTAAATTGCAGTGCAATGCTGAGCGAAATAGAAACCACCACTAATATTTTTTATTCACTATCACTTCAGTGCTGGTTTTCACCCTCTAGAGCAGGGATAGGCAACTTTCGGCATTCCAGATGTTTTGGACTACACATCCCATGATGCTTTGCCAGAATTATGGCTGAAAGAGTATTATAGGAGATGTAGTCCACAACATCCGGAGTGCCAAAGGTTGCCTACCCCTACTATAGAGATACACATTTGCTATTCAATGTACTTTTTCATTCCTCTGTATCCAACATACACACATCACAACAACATTGAGGTTTAAGCGCTACAGTTGCATTCTAACAAGCAAGGAGGGGGAGGGAAGTCTAGAGGGAACACTATAGGTTGCAACAGCAGACATCGACTTGCAATTCTCTGTTTAGCAAAGATGCATTTTGCAGCTGTACTTACTGTATGCCAGCATTTTCACAATATTGTTGGGAACGCTCAACACCAGATGTACAAACAGATTCTAAACAAATAGCAATCAGGATATTTGGCTATTTATATTTATATGTTTTTATATGTGACAACATTGGCATTTCTGCTTCTCTGCTACAATCTCAAACACAGAATAAACTATATAACACCTAAAACATTTTAACACCCCCATTATTTCTGCAAAAGATAAATAAATAAACATTAATATAAACATATTTACATGTTTTGGGGTTTGTTAGTCCCTGTAAAGCAATATCTAAATGAATTTACGTGTTAGCTTTGCATCAAACTTTTCAAACAAATTCTAATGCTCACTTTCAGTTTTTATTTTTATTTTATATTTTTTTTGGACAAAACGAACTTGGTAGGTAATAAATATAATATAAAATATATCACCAGTATTTTCTACATTGTATTACTTAGATTTTCCATGTGCCTAATATATTTAAACACATACTTTAATAGTCGTTTTATAAGGCCTTTTCTTGCCAACAGTGTTACTTGTGTTGCATTGTATGCTGTAGATTAATGCATTGGTGAAATAGAAGCATTAAATGATATGACTACTGTATTATTTACAACAGACATTAGCAATGACCTATAAGTAAAGTGCAGGAGGAGAGGTGAGGAACCTGTCACCTGAATAAGAACCTGTCAAGATAAATTAAAATTAAATTTAAGCAGGGGCTTTGCTTGGAATGGAGCTACAGACCCGAATCTTACGAAGAAAAATTTTCTTTAGCTGGTTTAGTTAAAAGTTCGCAAGGGCTTCGTATGTTTCCTTCAATGCCGAAATCCCCGTTCCCATACTTTTTTTTTCATTGAATCCATTTTTATTGGATTTTTCAGTTATCATGTCACAGTACAGTACAGATATCCATTGACCATCACCTTCAGTTTTTGCTTCGACATCATATTCCTATCAACAACACATACATTCCCATACTTTTCTTAATGCCCCAAATTAATTTCCTCTAAATGCCTTATTGCTAATCTGGCTCCGGACACCCCTGACTTTACACCTCCTGCTTAAAGTCACACTCTTCCTAAGAGCTATTTGGAGACCAACTGAAAATAGCATCCTAAGCCTGTTTAAATTCTTAACAATAAAAGTGGCAATGCAATCTATCCCTGGGATTCTGGAAGCATTCCATGCAGATTCCTCATTTAAGACTCACATTCCAAAAAACCTGGATGATAAAAGATTGAAACGGTATCTATACAAAAATATTTTTCCATAGCCTATTATGATCAGAATTGATCTATCAAGGTGCCATAGCCAGATGTCCCATTCATGGCCCAAAGCAGCCACCCTTGTCTCAGAGCCAGGCCCATGTTATTGTAGCATTGCTGAGCTGATGCTGCTCAGGGACGCACTGTCTCCATCCTAGAATGAGGGTAGAATGAATGGCACTATGGGGCAGAGAGAGTGACAGTAAAAAAGAGACCCTATGGGGGTGAGGGTGGGACAGTATGGGTATGGTTTCAATGGGAGGAGAGAGACAGACAGTCACAGTATTGGGGCAGAAGAAGGGACAGTATAAATATTGGAATAAGTACACAAAAATAAGTCCTGCGCTAAATCCTGTCCTTTTTATTGTAAATATTGGAATAAGACACTATAGCAAGAGAGAAAAAGGCAGTAGAGGCAAGAGGAAGGGGCAGTATGGGGAGATGTACAGATAGATAAATAAATGTCAGAATTGAAGCTGGGACCCTATCTGAGTCCATATAGGAAAAGGCTAGATGCCCTTGGGGGATATTAATCCAGCTCTGGAAGGAATTTATATCGAACTGTCAACATAAGGTAAATGTAAATAAAGTTCTAATGCCCTATAATATAGATTGAGGTAGAACGATTCTATAGTCTTCTAATAGGTAAAAAAAAAACAAAAAAAAACTGTAAGAATAATGTGATACCTCCTCTTACCAGGCCTAGGGGAAAAAAAATATTGTGTAGCATATGCAATTTTATTATTATTATTATTCGAATTAACAGACATGCACATTTAAAGCCTGTAAACTATAATGTGGGCTGCCTGTGACAGCTAGGCTGTTATATTACTGGTAGATAAATGAGCCTTTCTTTGGACTGAGCAATGGTTGAATAAATGTTTGGAATCTTGATGTAGTTGATGATAGAAAGTGTAAATCCCACTAATCTTAGGCATTGGGGGGTAGGTTATCGTTGTGCTCTTGGTTTATCTGAAATCATTCAAATACTGCATTGATTATCACTTTATATTACATACAAGTGTTTAGTATATTATCATGCCTGCTGCAGGGAAGGGCTGTATGTTTTGGGGAGAGATTTGTCAAAATGATTCAAGACAAGACAAATGATTCAAGATAATTTTAAGTAATACCAGAAATGTCATCCATACAATAAAGCATCCATAATAGCATCGTTATCACTGCAATGAGCTGTAGTCTGCATTGTGAATACACTGCTCCTTAAACGTAATGAAATGTAGTACCATTAGTGCTTAGCCAAAAGTAGGAATTAAAATGCAAGATGGCTAAAGTGAATTCAAGATGACGGAAGATTATCACAGATCACGAGAAGTATCTATATCTTTTTATATCAAGATAAGAAGGAAACATGAAAATGTCAATCAACACAGGCGTGAAAGAATTGGGAGCCTGGTAACTGATAAGGTTTAGAGATGTAATAATAGATTATTGAAAACCCAGTGCATGTAAGAGAAAGGGACATAAATAGACTACATCAGTAGAAGCTTACACAATAAATAATGCTAATAGTGAAATTCACTAAATTCATACTCTGACACTTCATTAATTAATAATATAAAATGAGTACAGTTCTAAATTAAAGAATTTTTGACTCCCAAACAGAGAAAACCCTTGCAGCAATGTTATGTCCTCTTTAGTCATAAGCTCCATTTATCCTAGCAGAGACCATTTGTAATGAGAGTGCATTTTTAAAATATCATCACAATTCAGTTAATTAATGAGCACTAGCTCTTGATTACCTGCACAGCCCCTGCTTGAATAAGTGATATTTCTGACAAAACAGAAAATGGCTGCCCCCATGAAGCAAGCGTAAACCAGGAAATGCACTAAAAATAGGTATTTACTAACAGTCATGGGAAAAAGAAAGTGCATCCTGTTTGAATTCTATGGTTTTACATATCAGGACATAATAGCAGTCACCTGTTCCTTAGCAGGTCTTAAAATGAGGTAATTACAATCTCAGA